CCAAAGTGCTTGCTCATAGGGGGTCATATGATTGTTGGGTTTTTCTCTGTATCTATGAAGCGCCTTGAGGCGACTTTTGTTGTGATTTGGTGCGATATATATAAAATTGAATTGAATTGAATTGAATTTCAATTAGACTCATGTCCAAACTTTGAACAGGCCTCTCCAAAGCATTTCATTTGGTTTAATTTGATTTTTTGTCTATTCTGAAATTGACTTGCTGGTGTTTCAGATCATTGCCTTGCTCCATAACCCAAGTTCGCGTCAGCTTCAGCTGAAGAACGGATTGATCATTCCACCGATTACGACAAGTCATTCAGGTCCCAAAGCAGCAAAGCAGTCCCAGAACGTCACACCATCATATTTCACTGTTGGTATGACATTCATTCATTCATTTTCCAAAATGCTGTGTTAGTTTTATGCCAGATGTAACGAGACTCAAACCTTGCAAAAACTGAACATCATAAAGATGTTTCTGGCAAACTTGAGGGAGGCTTTTTTGGTCAGCGGTGGTTTTCCATGGGAACTCCTGTGGATGTCATTTGTGCACAGCCCCTTTCTTACTGCTGAATCATGAAGTTTGACCTTAACTGAGGAAAGCGAGGCCTGCAGTTCTTTAGATGCTTTTTTTGGTTATTTTGTGATCTCTTCAAGTAAGCCGGGTAGATCAGCGACCCCTGGGAAGGTTAACGCTGGTCACAATTTTCTCAATTTGTGGAGAAATGACTGACAGTCTTGTTCACTGTAGTTCTAAAGTCTTAGAATGGTTTTTGTAATCTTTACTAGACTAAGATTTTTGAGTGAGTTTCTTATCTGTTCTTGGGTGTCTTTAGCTCATGACATGGTGTGTTGCATTTGAGCTTTTAGCCTGGTTCACTATGTTAGGTGTGTCAGGAAATCAAACTCAGCTTTTTTCAAAAAATGTGGTTAATCACAGTACATTTATTAGGGTGGGGGATTCCTTTTTCACTCAAGGCCAGGTAGGTTTGGATAGGAAAATAATTTCATGATCTGTATGTTAACAAAAACCCTTTTTTTAAACAATAAACGAAGGAGACGACTTCAGACGACTGTATAATTATAGCAAAGAGACAGTGCAAAAGAGTTGCTAGTTTTTTATGCATTTGCAACAAAATTTCTATTAACCTGATGAATGTCAAGTTATTATCTTCCTTTGAACTTTTTTAATCTCTCTAACTATTCAGATTTGACTGATGCTCCAGTGTTTACTCGCTGATATCAGTGAGTAAACACTGGAGCATCAGGTGGAGCTTCAGTGGATAGATAAAACCTTTCCTGCTTAAGCTAAAAACAAGCCTATGCCATATTATGGCACAAGGTTGCCATAGAGCAGCGGTCCCCAACCCCCGG